CTCTTTTTAAGTGTATCATTCTATTATATTTAAATTGCCCAGTTTCTCTAGGAAAAGAAACATGTCAGTTGTTATTATTTGGGGGATGGAAATAGAAAAATGGCAGGGTCAGTATTTGGCCACAGTGGCAACCACCTAGGACTTGACAAAATAGGATTATTTTAGTTCCACAAAGCACCATAGTAAATGTTAAATACTCAGAAAATGACCAATCATATCATTCTGTCACTCCTCTCTTTCATAATCACAGTAGAATAACATATTTTTAGATTAGAAAAAGTTGAGAATTTTTGTACAAAACCTACCAAAACTTGAAGCGGGTGCCATGCACAGTATTGGCCCTGTACACCATGCAGAAAAGCGTGGAAAGTAAAGAAAAGAGAGATTTCATTATTAAGGCTTTACAGATGGAAATGAATTTTTAACTAGAAAGATACTTTATTTGAAATATCAATTAATCAGCACATGCAAATCCAGTAATCCTTCATGCTTATAATTACAGATTAGCATTAAGATGACAAACCCAGTTAATCAAAGTAATTCTTGAATTCTTAGGTTAAAAAATGAACTTTAATTTTTCTGTAAAGAAATTATCTCTTTTAAATTATATATTTATTCTGGGCAAATATGTCATAAGTAATTTTTATCATAAAAATTTCATTTGTTACACATAGTCTTTTCAAAACATGCTTCAGTATCTGTATCTGGTGCCTATTTTCCTATGTACAGCATTAAACTATTAACACTGCCTCCTCCATCTCATTGAAATTGAGGACTTCATTATGAACATATGACAAGATTATTTCCCTCAAGAAAGGAACCTCAGCCAGAGAGTTTTTTCATTTTGCTATTGATTAAAGGAAAGGGAAATTTTCTCACATTTTTTGCATGTAAATCTAGATTTTATACTGACCAAAACTGGCAAAAAAAAAAAAAAAAGAAGTCTAACTTCTAAACAAAGCAACAGATTAAGGAAATGTAATAGGAAATGTAGAGTGAACAATGTATATTTTTCCACATTCAACCACCTTGGCTAATACTCCTGAACTATGCAACTCATTCTATAATACAAATGGAAGCAGCCAAACTGGAGAGATCTAATGGGTAGGAAATGACTAAAAATCTTTTATTGGGGGATACTAGGGGTTAAAAACAGAGGCACTTGACTATTGAGCTATATCCCCAGCCCCTTTTTAATATTTTATTTAGAGATAGGGTCTTACTGAGTTGCTTAGGGCCTCACCAAGTTGTTGAGGCTGGCTTTGAACTCGTGATCCTCCTGCCTAAACCTCCCAAACTATTGGGACTACAGGCATGTACTACCATGCCTGGCAAATGACTAAAAATCTTGAAGGGAAAAACCACCAGAAATAAAGTTACCTCAACCCACAATGGTTCTCTTTTTTACTTTGTGGACATTGCATATTTTTTCTTAGGTTTTGGGGAAAAGTCTAAAACCATTAGATATCAGTAGTTACTTTTTATAAAGTGATGTAAAAATGTATTAAAGAATTCAATTTTTCCTCCTCAGAAACTATTTATATAAATGTGTGTAACTTAAATGGTATCATGAAGAAGTCCATGGTCTGTAATGAAAGATTGGTTTTAAAACAATTAATTAACAGATTGATTTGTTAATTAACTGTTTTTTCCAAGTTGTAGTATATATTCTACATGTTCTTCATGTTTTCAGAATTAACAAGGCTTTCTAAATAGAATTTTAAAGCAGATATTATTTTCTTTTAATAATAGTTTCCAAAGTTGGACTTTTAGGATTCTGGGGGGAAAAAAGTTTATTTTTATTTTCAGTGGTTAGTATTTTTCAATTTATTCCTAAGACACCATATGCTTACTCTTAAAGTAAAAACCACTGGAAGAAAATTATTTTCTGCATATATGGTATTTATTTGAATGAAATTCTGGCTTTAAATTTTCTCCTCAATTAGGCTCAAAACTGTTATATTATTAAATATAGATGAATGTAAGAGGTAATACAAAATATGCTACAAAGTATCAGAAAGTGTAACAAACTGCTATGTTTTCATATTAACTTGTTCAAGAGTTAGAAGCTAAAACTTCTTATTTTATATATACTATACTGTGCCATACTATACTTCATGTAAATTTAAGGGTAGTTTTAAAATAACTGCCTTTGGTATATCACAATCTATGGACTACAGAGTTTTGTAATGCTGATGCTGGAATTATTTTTATTTTATTTTATTTTGGGGGGTAGCAGCCTGCTGTCTGTGAAAATGATACCTAAGAGTCAAGGAATTAGTTGAGATCAAACCAAGCAAATCAATCACAAGAAGGAAAAAAAAAAAAAGTTAAGACCTTTCTCCTACTTTGATTCCAAACCATTAATTTTCAGAATCATAGAAAAACAGGTTGTTTGACAAGTATTAACAGATCAAGCATAATTGCCTTGTTTTATTTCTAATCAGTCAAAATGCATGTGGATATTTCTCCCATGAAAGCCCTTTGAAAGTTGCTTTGCATCATATATATTCACAACATCACTAAACTCGAGGTGCCCAGCGCTGTGTTCTCACCTGTTGGGATAAATGCCGGCTGTGGGAGCTGCATGTTAGCCAGAGTCTGTTGGCAGTGGAAAACATTTGGATTAAAGACCGGGGTGGCACCGTTGGGCTTTTCAATGGCCGTTCTCTTTGGTATCAGTTGAAGTGCACCAGGCTGCAGGGCCTGTGGGGGAGGGATGGGTTAATCACAAGTAACAGAGTGAGTAAAAAATATAGTCAAATCAAACAAGCAGTAGTTATATAATGAATGGCTGGGAATTCTCTGCAAAGGTATCCATTGAGCAAGACATTCAATAAGCAGCAGCTGCACAGCAAGGTAACCAACTGCAGAGATGAAGTAGTTCACTGAATAAGCAGTTAGGCCGAAACACAAGATAAAAATACCAGGGAAAAAATAAAAGCTTTTCAACATCCCTAATTGAGACGTCATTTGAACAGGATGCAACAGAAAACTATTACAGCAAATACATTTACAATTAGCATCATAGAAATGCTCATCTATTAATCTGTAAAAATAAGATTAGCAGAAGCAACAGGTATGGCAGCAAAGAAAATCCTGCCAGTTAAAATTCTAATATGGATCTAGGAGATACGAGGCATACAGATGATAAAACAGATGCTGTTAGATTGGAGTCTGATACCGAGCCCTACAAAACAAAATCTAATTAATACAAAGACCTCAGGTTCAAATCCCAGAAGTGTATGTTTCCTAACTCACATGTAAGGAAAAAGAAAGTCAATCATTCCTCCCCTGCCACCTACCACACCTGGGTATGATATACAGTTAAGCAAAATATATGCAGGTCTATTTTTTAGAGGATCACTGTGCATTTTATTATGCACCATTTGCTTTGTTAAATCCTGTAAGGATTAATTCTAAAACCTATCAGCCTTTTAAACCCTTCTTTCATGTCTACATTTCTTTCAAAATCCCACTGTGCTTATAGTACTCAGATGTGCTCCAGATCCATTGAAGAAGTTTAACATTATATTTTTTTCCCTCAGCAAATTGTACATTACTTTAAAAACACGCCCCAGCAACAACCATTACGTATGCTCCAAATTCTTATTGAGATACTGACACCTGTGCAGAGTCACTAGCTTTGCAAAAAGGGTTATGCCATGACCTCATTATTCCTGGGGCTATCAAGGGCCTAAAGCTATTTCTTTTTTTTGGGGGGGGGGGACTCTGCTATCAGTGCACAGAGTGTGACAGGTCTGCTTTTTCTTAGTTTACTTCCATCTCCTAAAAAAGTGAGATGAAAATAAACCAAGTAGCTTTAGATTTCCAAACTGATCTGAGAGAAAGACGTGGCAAAAGTCATGACTAAAATCATAAACTTTAAAGCATAATTGATCATTTTGAAGGCCTTTTATCACCTTTGAGGGAAAATGGATTACCTGAAGACTTCAATAGAGTAGGACAGGTTATTTAAAAGATTTCCCCTTGGTTTAGTATGGTGGGGGTGTCCCTTTCTTTAGAAAGTTAGGAGCATGTATGATCATCAGAATCAAACTTGTGTTGCCCAGTAAACTACAGATTAAGGAAAGGCCTAGACGGACATTTGATTCATGGTTCCTGGCAAGGAAGTACTGTTGATTTACTGCTGGGGTCTATCTTGACAGGTTAGCACCCAGTTCTGATTGGCTGGTGCTTATACTGCCATTAAGTATTTCTCAATAATCAACACTGGCTAAGGCCTCAATGCCCTCATCACAATCTTGCCAACTTACCAAAGTTGTATTTAAGTGTGGATGAAATAATTATCAACCCTCCAAGTCTTTTTTATACCTTTATTTTATTTATGTATTTTTATGTGGTGCTAAGGATTGAACCCAGTACATCACACATGCTAGGCAAGAGCTCTACCACTGAGCCACAGCCCCAGTCCATCCAAGTTTTTTTTTTTAATGTATGCAAATTGCTCAACAAAGTCAACCTGAGCTATATGTCTGCAAAAGGTAAAAACTCCCCTTTTATAAAACATTTCTACTTTGAATCCTTAAAATTATAAAAAGATTAAACATCTTCATAAAGCTCTCTTTTTATTTGGTCTTACCTTAAAGAAATTCTTATGGGCTAAATTGATTTTACAACTAAGATCCTGCTGTGATCTGTTACTCAGGAAGGAATTTTATATTGACATTCACAAGTACTGGTTGAGGGCATACTACATAATACTTAGCTCTCCAGATGGAAATTTGATGCTCATATGTAACCTGCATTCTATGAAACATACTCAAATCATCAGAAATGGGCAGAAACATGAAGGTCTCATGTCCAAGCATGGGGAGAGATGCATAACTGAACAAGCAAACCATTCTTTTTTTGTTCATCCTGTTTGTGTGTTCATTTTTTAGGGGGACAAGTGCATTCTTGTTCCTTTAATAGCCTCACATCTTTCCTAACTCTATGTAACTCTAACATAATAAAAAACTGAAGGACTGCTGGGCATGGTAGCACACACCTGTAATCTCCGTGGCTCAGGATGCTGAGACAGGAGGTTCACGAATTCAGAGCCAGCCTCAGCAAATTAGAGGCTAAAGCAATTCAGTGAGACTCTGCCTCTAAATAAAATATAACAAAGGGCTGGGGATATTGCTTAGTGATAAAGCATATGAGGGTTCAATCCCTGGTATGAAAAAACAAAACAAAAGCAAAAACCAAAAAAACCTGAAGGATTTATTGTCCCAGCTACTTTGGAGGTTAAGGCAGGAGAATCACTTGAGCCCAGGAGTTAGGGGTCAGCCTGGGCATCATGCCAGATCCTATCTCTTAAAAAAATGAAGGCTTATATTCTGCATTCCTTGATATTTTCCTAGCTTAAAAGTCCCTCATTCAGAAGCATTTAAGACAAAAATATTTGATCAAGATTTTTTAAACATTCCTTAACAGATGATGTTATCCAGATCCAAAAAAAAAAAAAAAAGAAAAAAAAAGAAAAAAGCAAGTATGTTCTACTTTGGTGCTCAGATCCTTCATGAAGTAATGTGTTCAGTTCTGAAAATAGATGAGTATTGAGATCTTGGGCTGTTATACCCTATTACATGAGGAAAGTTCCAGTTGTCCAAAGAAATAAACAGCAAATGGCACATTTAATTGACAATTGAGACATACTTGAGGAATCTTTCAGTGTTATTATGTAGAACTATATTTTCCCCAAAACTGACTTACTAGGACAATACAAAAGCCAGGCCTCTCTTAGTCCTGAGGAAATCTCCCCATAGCCTTAGCAGGCTTCTGTCTTTTGTCTTCTCCTTTGCCTACACCAGGCCTCCAGAAAGGAAAGGTAACCTTAACCTTTAGGAAATTAGAACCTACTTAATATCCCATCTTTCAAGTACTCTGTTCTGAAAAGCATTAAGGACGTGAGTGGCAAAGTGCCCTCAAAAGTGGTTCACAGAGCAGAAGCAACTTTCCGCCTTTCTGGGATATTAAGGGTAGTTAGACTATAAAAAGCACTCAAAAACAATTTACTGCTTAAATTATAGAGTTCGCCCTTTCTCTGAAAATGGGAGAAAGAGCCACAGTAGGTTAAAATCATTAGTAAAGCTTTTAAATAATTACCTTTAGAAAATCTTAGTAAATAAAGTAGAATAAATAGGTTCTTTTTTTATCTAGCTTATAACCTTGACTGTTCATATTAAGATACACTCATGACTATCCAACATTATGGTTATAGAATATTTGACAAATTGATTTGATAAATCATTTACCCCAAAATGGAGAGGCTGCAACTGCTGGTCTGTTCTTACCATCGCCGTGGCAGCCGAGTGGTTCATCTGGTGATGAGCTGCCTTGAGTTTGGCTTGCAAGTGTGCAGGAGGATGAAAGTACTTGCATTTCTCCCGGGAGCATCGACCTTTGATGTAATCCATGCAGATTGTCACAGTATTATCGCTCACTTCAATCATGGAAACATCTGTAGGGTGAGCATAGCGGCAATCGTTCTCCCCCCGGGTACAATTTCCACGCTGAAATTCACGGCAAACCTTAAAGAAGAAAACACAAAAACACAGACACAGACACACACACACACACACATATCAGTATGATGACTGGAAGGTGGTTGGCTTTCATTTGCTTTGCCAATGCATGCAAGGATAATTATATACATTTTGTCATTTACTTAAGGAAAATCTGAAAAGATGAAAGCTAATCAAAAGCCGTATTCACTATAGGATGGAAACACAGATAATGCATTTCTAGAAAAAATTCCATCCTCCACAATGGAAAGTTTTTCTGTTTTCCTTACACTGACCTAAACTTGTATCTGAAAGTATTATGGAAAACCGATTTTAATCTTCCAGTTAATACACAGCCTCAAGTGTAATTAGTTTTTTTAAGATTCAAGATGAGTCTTTATCACACAGCAACACACTGGTAATTTTCCAAGGCCAACTTGTGAACCATGATTGAGTTACATGTACAATCAGATTCCATTGCAGTACATCACCAGGCATTTAAGGGGCTGTCAATGGAGCTAACTTTCTACAAAATCAACTAATCATTTATTTCAATTTACAAAAAAACCCCAACAATTAAGGAAAAATGGAAGGACTTTGGTAAACCAAAAGCTGTTGAAAACTACTTTTTGATTCTTTAGGTATTATGCGGTATTAATTATATAGTACATAATTCTTAAGATAGAAAAAAAGGTTTAAACACTATGAGACTCATGTACATTCTGCATTCATATGACTTTACATTTTACAATCATAGAGTTAGATTAAATTTGTTTTTCCAGTTTACTATTCTAGTAAGTAGAGGATCATTAACAATACAGTAATTCCATTCTGTAAAGCTGGAGCCTGAGTATAAGGAGCATTCTCACCCAGACTTCCTATGCCATAGCATAGTCTAGGCTAGGTACACTTAAAACTTTGTTTGACCAACTGTATCACTGAATCAATGCACTTAATAATAAGGTATAAGTGTAGCAATAAAATGTTTAACATTTTTCTGAGATTATACACCATAGGCTAAAAACCTTTGGGTGTACTTATTTAAAATATTTAACACATTGGGTTCTGAAAATGTTACTTTATACATAAGATTAATATCCACCTTACAGGTATTTATATATTTCTTCACAAATACCTCCAGTTTATCCGAACGCATCAGTTTTGGACCAGCAACTCCTGGCAACGCGAGAGGTGGATTCCCAGAAATCAGAACAGGCGTATTTGGTAAAAGTTCTGCAGGAACTAGGCCCATCCCAGGATGAGGTACATAAGGATTGAAAGCCATGGCAGGATTAGCCGCAAGGGACGGATTCACAGGAAAAGAAGCCTGTATGTTTAAAAGAGGGGATAGAAGTGTTAGAAGTAAACAGATTCTTCCTGTTATCGCACAGTATGATATTCTTGCAGAAATATCAGAATTTCCTAAGCCATATCAATGTTTACCATTGTCTATTCTGACTGGCTTATTTTTAATCTCCTGGTAATGCCTATATGGGAGTTTCTTTTAAAGCAACAAATCTCTTCAAGCAACAAATTTATTGATAAGCTGATCAAGCAATCATGATTTTAAGCCATGTATAAACTAACTTAAATCTCATTGTTCCAAATGTATTTTTTAAAATTTTTTTTAGTTGTAGATGGACACAATATCTTTATTTTATTTATTTATTTTTATGTGGTACTGAGGATCTAACCCAGTGCCTCATGTGTGCAAGGCAAGTGCTCTACCACTGAGCTACAACCCCAGCCCATTCCAAATGTATTTTTTCCAGTACTTTTGTTTTTACTTAAAAACCACATCACCAGTGACAGCACATATACAGACAATCTCCATTATCTCCTCACAGAGGCTTTCACTCTGCAGGTGGACTTTGGGTACTCCTGAAACCCCCCTTCTTTCCACCCTTCTCCCTCTTACCCATCAGTACTACTTGGCTCTAAGGCTGCCCTTCATACCATAGGTTCCACCTGTATTACCAAACACTGACCTTGATTCTTTTCTTAGTCTACTGACTTGGAAGATAGCAAAGAATTGATGAAGAAAAGAGCAGGTTAGAAAAGTGAATACTTGGCTGGCTGCATGCCTGTGATCCCAGTGATTCAGGAGGTTGAGGCAAGAGTATCACAAGATTAAGTTTCCAAGAAATTTAGTGAGACCCCGTCTCAAATTAAAAACAAAAACAAAATAAATAAAAGTGCTGAGGATATGGCTCAGTGGTTAAGCACCTCTCTGTTTAATCCCAGGTGGTAGTAGTAGTACTAGTAGTAGTAGTAATAATAATAATGGGCTAGGGTTATAACTCAGTAGTAAAGCACCCCGGGCATCAATTCCCAGTACCAACTTTTTTAAAAGTAAGTACTTTAACCATTTTTTCTATCTACCTAAAATGAGATTGATATGGTCATTATATTTTTTTTATTCTTTAACTAGAGGTCCTACTTCACAAATGAATCTTGACTTGCCCAGCCTTGTGTTTATCTAGGGGGGCCAGATGATATAGTTCAAAAGGAGGCCCTAAAATACTATAAGGATCCTTGTTAGATAAGAAGAGATAAGATAACTGGGTGGATACAAACTAGAGCACAACTTATAAAGAAAAGTCTTAGAAATGCAAAGGCTATTACTGATTTTTTTTTATTTTTAAAAGTCCTGGATTCAAAGAGCTTGATATGTGTATTGCCTTTATTATCTGTAACCACATAATTTATCAGTTTACTGTGCTATTTTCCAGTTTGTTTCACACACGAACTTCTTTACTTATCAATGTAGTCATAATTTCTTTGATATTTCTCTTGTCTCCTCTAAAGTACTTAATGCATAGTGAATGACTGACAGATATAATCAATGATGAGTTTTAAAAATATTTGAACTGTAATGAGTGAATAATACATCTGATGAGATGTAGTGTATTTCTAGTAGTGACTCAGTAAGGTAGTTATTGTGTAATTGCTGCTGCTCATTGTATATTGCTTTTTTTTTTTTTGGCAGTGCTGAGAATAGAACCCAGGGTCCCTCACATGCTAGGTAAGCACTTTTCCATTGAACTACATCCCCAGCCCTTCATTATGTATTACTAATCACATGTGTTCTTTCTTGCTTTCTTTTTCTTTCACTAAAAAAAAAAAAAAAAAAAAAAAAAAAAACAAGAAGCTGATATATTGCCGAGCTATGCCTAGACTTGCTAAGTCACACTAATTGGAACATCTCTAAATACAGGAGACTAGGAAGCCATAGACCCTGGATGGGGCAACCTAGATTCCCTGCCCCAACCTCTGTGCTGACTTGTAATTTTCACCAGCACAGACTCTCCAAGAAGCTCCTGTTACAAGCCACATTCAATTTACATGTAAGCACTCCTCCATTAGCACTCTGCCTTGGTTGAATTTATCAAATTAACTGTTTGATATGTTATGAAGGACAGAAAGAATTTGGCCTCAAAGAACTGGCAAGACTCACTGGGGTGAGTGAAGAAGGCATGGTGGCTGACAGCTTAAGAGGAAAAGGGTGACACCAGGTGCCAGAAAAGTTGGTGAAATAGTCAGGGGAGAGGGTTTAAGGTTTGAGGACAAACATCTTAGGGCTGACCCAGCTGAACTAAGTCCAGGTGATGTAAAAGTCTGTAGCCTCATCAAATGAGATGTGAAACTCTAGGAATTAGCTGATATGACATTATTTTATTTCATGAGAAGGAAATCCTTTGGAAACAGCCACCCAAGCATGCTTCAGCAACAAGGCAAACTTCACTAAATGATTCATGGTTATATCAAAATCAGCAAGGATCTCAAGATAAAAACACTATATTTGCACCACACAGTAATCTTCTTTGTTTTATTTTTTTTCTGGGACTTTTGTGGTAAGTTTCTCACGGAAGTCACCATTCCATTTTCCTGGATAATTTTTGCTTTTGCCTTTTGCAAAACTAGAAAAAGACCATTATTATATCTATTAACCATTGGACTAAAACGGTTGAAAGATTGGGAGGTGGATGAATTTCCCAGATTAAAAAAAAACACTAATCATTAACAATATTAATTTAATTAATGATCATTTAATATTCAAGTCTAATGTACATATCAGCAATGCCTTCTTTTTTATGGTAGCTCTGAACTTCTGTTATTTTTTCCTTTCCTTTTGAGGGTGACTCACCAGGGAAATTTTCCTGGTTAACTTCTATTATCTTTAGAATAATTTTAACTTACTTAAGTCTGTTACATGCTTCAAGCATATGGGAAAAAAAGCTTTAAATAATGTCTATATACAAAGTGTAAGGGGGCTGCTGAAAACACTTAGATCTTTAAAAGATTTCACCATGAACTATACTATGCTGTCTTTAGATTTTAAAATTAGTATCAAAGCTTTTATGACCATTTCCTCCTTGGGTATAAATTTCTTTCTATAACACTGTTTATTGAGAAGAAGCAAGTTTGTCCACTCACAGCCCTGGGGCAGAGGCAGGAACTCCCAGCTGCTTATTTATTTTCCAATAGACATTTCTGTTTTCTCACCGCCACCTCTGCCCCAGGGCAACTACTCCATTTCATGAATTTGAACATTCAAGGGCTTAACTTTGACTAACAGCCTGCAAACTCACATACTCAGCTTTAGTAAGCAACTTAATCCT